ACTCAAGTGGTATGTTGATAATTTACATGTATGCTGAAATTCAGTTTGTATTATTTTTTATCGATATAAAATAAACGGAACGAAATCATACTTCGGACACATTTTTAATTTCTTTAAAAATCTCTATTATACATTGCGCCTTATCGCCAATTTTTAGTATAATATAATTATAATTATTCTTATCATCACTTTGTAATGGTAATAAGGGAGAAATAATCCTGGGAATAAGAAGAGTGATATTTTCGTTACGGTCCATCCCGCTGTACATGTAAAATAAAATAAGACAGTCACTAATTTTTTTTTTATATAATTGAGAGATTATTTATTTTTTGTAGAGAATTTGAAAATCTTTATAATTGTCCCCGGTATAATCAAGTTATGCGTAAATCAAGTTTTCTTATTGGAGGAAGTTAGCCGACCGTTCTACATATCATGGGTGATAAATATTCAGGACGCAGTCATTATAAAGTTTTTATTAGTGCCGACGTTTCAACCCAAACATGTGGGTCATCGACAGGGCGTGTTTCGAGCACTAAAAGTATTTAAGTACTGAGTACAACAGTGCTCGAAACACGCCCTGATGATGACCCACATGTTAGGGTTGAAACGTCGGCACTAATAAAAACTTTATAATGACTGCGTCATGAATATTTAACATGCATGAAGTTTTCTTATATTTATAACTTATTTTTCCGACTTTTTTTTCACCTGCTAATTTTTTCGCACCTTAAGGAAAATCTAGTGCGCGTAACACACAACTTTCACTTACCGCTCTACTTAAGTGAATATCTAAGAATCCGGGCATCTAAGAAACCAGAGAGCTTCACCAACACGGCTGAGACCATTTAGGCCGAATGTCACTCTGTTTGCCAAGTAGTCCAAGTGAGGCCTTATATTGAACTTTCTTTCAAATCTTACACCGAGGAATGTTACCATCTCCCTTGTACTAATCGTTTCTCCTTTTATCTCCAAAGCGATTGGATGCTTGTTATTTAATTAACATGGCTTTAAGAACATTAAAATACATTACAAATTTAAAAATCGAAATTGGAATTCGTCAATTTTTAATGCAATTAGCTTTCGACAGATAACTCATTCATCAAAATCAATTACTCCTTAGAGCTAGAAATGGGATTTACGCTATTGTATCAGATACTATAAGAACATCAATTTAAGATTATTCTCTTAAAACTATTAAATTCAACTGGAAAACAAATGAATGAATGTGTAAGTGCGTTGAACCTAAATTTCCATGGTAACAGAAGAAATATCGATAATACAAATAATGTAAATACATTTTTACCACTTTTTATATACATGTATAATTTTCTTTTTAAGTATCATTTTATTCAAAGCCCTGTACAACCAATGACGAACTCGACATTTTCCCTCACCCAAAATAATGACAAGTAGTGGGGGGGATGAGCTGGCCGCAGGAGAGCGACTGAGACGCGTGACAGACACGTGACGAAGGCAATCCGGCACGCGACTAATAGCGTCGGACCATTGTCGTTCAATGGCTTCCATTTAACAAATGGCGAAATATCAAGCGGTCGTAGTAGTAATGAATCACTTCTACATCAAAACAACAATCCCGCTACTAGCTCCGGTCTATTGTCGATGGTGGGCTATAAATTCTTCCAAAAATAAATAATAATGGTGGAGATATAGATGGCTGTAGATAATATGGTTGGGAAGTTACTTGGGGGGTTGTAGTCATCTTAAGATTAACACAACTTATAAAAATGACAATCAAAAAGCTGTTCAACAAATATATTATTCAAAAAACAAAAAACCATTAACACACATTGTAATAATTTTGGCCTCCACAACTCTAGCATTAAAATGTACCTTAAAATATATCGATCTATTTTCCAACTCATATTTGCCTATGAATTAACCATTGTTATAGTCATTTTCGTTCACTTCATGCAGTAGATACAGTTTATGAACATTCAAACCTAAAGAACCAGAATTAATAGCAAGCCTATTATGGCAATAAACCTGATAGACATAGAAGGGAATGACATAAAAAATATGTATTCAAACCAATTATAAAAAAGTTATGAAAACACAAAAAATTTTAGCTACTAATAAATAAATCATATAAAGTGAATAAAAATTACCTTGTTAAGGATAAATTAAAAGTATATAAGTACTAAATGTAAAGCTAAGGCATGAAAATGTTAAGGTAAGTAATAAATTTTTTAAATTTTAATATAAGAGTTTAATGGACTGTGTGATACATTATGAGAAAAAAAATTAATAACTGAAATAATTTGAAAAAACTTATCGAAAGATATGACGAAGTGGAGACTTCTACTCATTAATAATACAAATGCTTGAACGATCTTTGCCGCGTACAAAAGATTCGTTGGTGGAGCTGGATATTGAACCCTCCCTAAAATAACCCGGTGACTCGACTGGAGGAGCGAAGGGTAGGCAAGGAGAGCTGTCACCAAACAGCTGCCGGTTCCTGACGAACCACGTGCTCCTGATTAGTTCTAGCTATGGGCACGAATAGTCTTCATACGACAAAGCGCTCAACTGAGGAGGATAAAAAGATCCATTTAATTTATAAAACGTTTTGTACTAACACTACTTTCAGGGATATATTTAATCAGACAAAAAACTAAACTACTGCATCATCCCCAAATAATTACCTCCATCTTTTTAAAATGTTCATATTATCGCACTGATGGAATCTTTGATAAAACATTCAGGTTGTCTTCAGATATTGATTTAAGATTTGAAGTTCTATTTCATCTTCGATCTTCCATCAAATGGTTAGATCCGGGATTAAAATTGTAAACTAGAGGATCTTCCTGAGACCCTATTGAGTTTGATCACTAAGCCGATGAGGGTTTAACCACAAAATCCACTGGTCTTATGCCCTCGATTGAGAAAATGACAGTAGCTTCGTTGGAAACGTCATTAGCTAGTTGAGTTATTGAAGAATGGTAATAGCACAAAACGCCGGACTAACTACGGTGGAATCTATCCCTATTGGAAACGTCGCTGAAGCCTGAGACATTAAAACCATATATCCAGAGGAGCGTTGTTACGTTTCAGAATCAAATTTGGTTCGGTGTCTGTCTTCGAATCGATGTGACGGACATATCAACTACAACCGTTTATTCGATTTTATGAAATTTTCAGTAATTGTGCGGGTTGGTGCCTAAATGGTTCTATATCAATTTCAATTAATTCCATATAGTACCAATATTATTACCGCTTGACCACAGTAATGCAGCCTGTGGGTCTAAAATAATGGCTACTTTCTCCTCATCACTGGTGGTTAGTTTTTCCAAAGCTAGGCCGAGTGCCTTGGCCTCGGCATCATAATTTGTTGCAACCGTCCCTGCAGGCTCACCCATTTACAGTATTTATAGTTCGTCTCCATACAAGTCAAAACGCAAGATTGTATTTGCGAAAAACATATGTGGGGAATTAAAATTACAGTATATGACGACAAATTTCGAGGTTTTTAATAACGATATATGTATTATAAATAAATGATTTTATAAATTTAAGAAGAATAGCAATAATGATGTTAAACCTACATATGTTATAAAAACCATTTTTATAGATTTCAAACAAAAAAGAATTGTTTTTCTAGTTTTAATAAGTGATTGGTAGGTAAACTTCATCGGACAATTCAATAGACATTCTATTTTATATCAAGATGAATAATTTATACCTAATCTATATGCATAAAACATTTACCAAAATGTACGTAATAGAAATTTCGACACAGTTTATGTTAAATTTTATTATAAACAAGATTGATAACGATTTATTGGTGATAATAATTTGTTTATAAGTTAATGGCAGGAGGAGAAGAGAGGATGATCTATGTAAATATATTTTACTGTATAGGGAGTGGGCAGGCCGACAGGTGTGATACTGGAAATGGAAGATATATCATCCGCTCATCCGCCGCGGTTTGATCGACTCAAATAGTGAACCATATCCGATAACGGCATTTATCATTTTGTGGCTTTGCGCAACACACTCTTCTTTATCAAAATCCAATGAAACCCAGCAAAAAATCACCAGATCCACAATTTTTTAAGTTTTACGGAGAAATATTTGTTTAATTTTTTTCAATTCTTTTGATTCGGCCAATTTAACTATATTTATAATAGAACTAGAATGTATAAACAAATTATATAGCTTTTAAATAGTCTTTTGACATGAGAGACATTCATAATAATAAATTAAGAACCGAAATGCTATACCAAGTCCGAGAGTTTTTATGCCTTTCCACCTGCTCGCATATTACGACTTTAAATAAGCTTGAATTAAAATTAAGTGCATCAAATTTCCTTTCTCGCAAAACGAAAAAAATCAATTTTCGAAAAATTCCAACAATTGGCAAACCTTCCTTTCAACAACTTATTACCAGCCAAAATCCCAAAACGTTGGCAATAAATCACATGAGATAGATGTTTTATTAATTTAGTTGTAAGCTCTAGAGGATAAGAAACTACAAAAAATACACCTTGCAATGCTTTTAAGCTGTAAAAGGACTATTATGAAGACAATGAAAATCCAAGGATTCAAGACAAAAATAAATAAAAAGGGGCTATGAAAAAAAAAAATTCCTTTTGAGTTCGGGTATAATTGTTAATAAATGAATAGAAAAAAAAATGTATGAGCGTTTGGACTGATACTCTACTATTAGTATTACACTATAAGTCATATATTATGATACATCTTTATCATTAAGCTGAATTAATTCATGTTGACAGTTATCAGCACTTATTGATAAATTGTGGTTTAAATATGTAACCTGAACTTTGCATCATAACAGAAATCATAATAAATAATTGGTTTAGCAAATCTGCCATATTTGATTAATGTAACATGTATAAGAGCTATAGTTTTTTTATTTGTTTTTTAATTGGTAAAATATGTTTTAAGGATTGTATAGAGATAATATTAACTTAAATCCGATCACTATTTAAATGTTGTAATAATAGAAAAAAAAAACTTACGGACATTATTATTCATTTTACTCAGAAAATCACAGGAAAGAAGGAATAGAAGATTTCAAACAGTCGTAATACCTGAAACATCAAATACAACATTGATCTTTCCCTTATTTTATTTAATGATTAATTTAATATACCTGTATTTAAATTTAAACTACATGACATATACCTAATGAAGCTAAATAATACTGATTAAATAAAAAAATGCCAAGTAGCCCATAGCTATTGACTAAACCAGATAAAACAAATTTACTATTTTAAGTGATTACCAGGACACTACAGCGGACTAACTTCTATTTTACAAACTATACAAATGAAAAATGTGTATGTAAGACAGAAATTGTTAAAGAAGAGAATAATTAATTGAAAATTTATTTCCCGAACAATTAGAAAAAATATTATCAGAATGATGGGATTAGGGCGCAGTGTTCGGAAACCCGCAAGGCGGTGGTGCTTTGCGGGCATTCCACTTTAAAAATAAAATATCGGTCACTAAAAACTTCTTTATACAATTATTGTCCACGTGACAGATTATTACATTTCTAAATAAATAAAAAAGTATAATAGAGAGATATTAATGTTACAGCATCTGGTATACTCCTCCAGGAGCTTCCTTAGCAAGTAGCTGGCACCTTCATCGCCATTAGCTATTACTACCTACTCGTCTGCGAATTGTAAGGTATAAAGGCATAAGAGAAGGGAGGCTAAGCAATTATTGAAGGAATACATTGTACAATCGAAATAACACTTTTTTTTTAAATATTACTAACTACATATTTATTTATTCAACTGTAAACGACTCAACAACTAATTAAACGCCGCATACATGAGGAAGAATAATATTATTGTTAATATTTTAAGATTTATCGAACCGCAACAAAATTTAACGAAAAACTGATCACTTTTGCCACCCATCTTCTGCCATAGAGGTATAATTCTATAATCGATTCTATACCCTCTGAATGATGCATAGTTGAAAGGTAAGCGACCGGCTCCATGGGTTTGGAATGATTGGTGGACAATTGGAATGAAATTGGAAGAAGAGACTGTGAAGGAGCAATGACAGGGAGGACAATAAAAATAAAAGAGATTATCGGATAATTAGCTTTGGCGTTCCACACTCCAACGCTCGCGGTAAAGGCTTAATTATATTAGTCGCTGGCTGCCTCTTATTTAGCTCCGCTCTTTATATCTACGCTTCCCCTCTGGGATAAAAAATTTGAGTGATCCTTTTTTTGAATATATAATTAAAGAATATATAAATGAAGAAATAAACGGTAGTGTACATTATATTTTAGAATGTAATTTACAACACAATATATTGATTTCACACAAAAACTTCCATGTTATTACCGTTTAGCAGACACGGATAGTCCCCTAATTAAAAAAAATAGTTCATAAGAACCATTTTTTTTTTAGGAAAAAAATAATCATTGCTTTTGATAATAATCAATCCTTTGAGTCTACCAACATGAATTTGTGAACATATTTTGAATTTTTTGTGATTTTTTTTTCTATTTGCAGTTTTTTCTCACTTGGCTGGCCATTAGCGGCAACTAGCCTTCTTAAATATAATTTATTCCTTTAATATAGTTGTGATTTTTCAATCTCGTTGTTTTCTTTGCATGAAACTATGTTTTCAAATTTTAGTATAAATCGTTGTTGTCTGGAACATAAAACGCGGTGGAAATTTTCGATTCTGAGCACAATTTTTTTTTAAACTCCCACACGAATACAAGGCTTCTCTACCTTCGGTAATGAGAACGCAAAAAAAGAGCCCTCTAAAAAAATAATACTCGAATTCGCTAGTGCGACTTAATATGGCATCATGCCGAGAAGGACACGTGATACGTATACTGAAAAGTAAGTAAACAATATTTTGGAATTCGTGAAATTCCAAGACGTCTTACCAAAAAAAAAAATGATACCGTTACTTCGAAAATGAATTTATTTTGAAGCGATGAACATAAAACACTCTAGTTTTTACCAAAATACATGCGAAATAATTAAAAATACAAACAGTGTCATCTATGCCATTTCTAATAAATTAGTAGAGATCCCTTTTTCGGCTCTGAGAATCGATGAATTTTGACAAATGAGGTATCGAACGAAATGGAATTAAATGAATAATAGACCAATCCTAATTTCGAGCCTTACATTCTAACTAAAACTTTAAGATGAGTAATTGAAAAAATTACTCTATATTACTATATTATTACTAATCTAAAAATTACTTAGAAAGGTTTCACAACTTTTACATTGTGAATTCCACGGATCAAAATGGAACAAAGAGTGTTCTAAAGATTTTGACGCTGACATCAAGACCAGATTGTGTTCCTTTGGAAAATGCAAAAATCGGAATACATCTCGAGGTGCAATGAGATACTTTTCACGTTTTGTTTAGCTTTTTAAAAATAAAAATATTGCTATTTATTATAGTCTAGAATAAACTAAAAAATTATTGAAGAGGTAAACGAAACAGAATGGTTCTGAGATCCTTGTGGTACCTCGGATAATATGTATTTTTTTATTTATTTCTATCTACTCTTATTTTTGGTTTATATTGTTTAGGAGAGCTATGTCAGACAAGCTACGCACTTTCATAATTAAAAACTATAATTAATTAGGAAGAAAAAAAAAGCGAACTGCTGTAGAGTTAATGCATGCTATCTGGCAGCACTGTAACTGTTCTGAACAAAGACAGTGAGATTTCTCTGACAGTAGTAGTCCTTTGTTTCTGATAATATGAAGTTTATGTAGAAGAATAAAGGTGCGTTATGTGTTCATTTGTGTAAAAAGTTTTCAACATAGCTGATGTTTGACTACTAATCTGTACACGTTTTGGTCTATTATTTTGAATGAAAATTGATTCATTCTTCTCTAAATACATTGTCTCATTTTCATATTATTTTGTCATTTGTTCACTAACCAATTATTCGCAGGCGCCACGGGCGGATCTACGGGGGGGGGCTTACGGGCTGAAGCCCCTCCCCCCAAAATTGTAAAATGTGGCCATGTTTTATCGAAAAAAATATTAAAAACTTATCTCTCAAAGTATTATTGTTCGTGTAATTACATTTAAAAGGGCTTTAGGAATCACATAAACACCATTTCATATAGGTAGTTAGTTTCTTTCTTTTTTTCCAAAGTAATTATCGTTATTTTTATGAAAACAAAACCTTTCGGGCTGAAGCCCCCAAAAATTAAATCCTGGATCCGCTAGTGGCAGGCGCCAATGAGTTTTTCATGTTATAGAGGTTCCTGTAACATCACCAGTTCGATTGACAGACCTAGCCTAAGAGACACGACTACAATTATAACAATGAGGTATCGATAGGAGCAATGAGTACTGTCAGTTAACGGCGGACGACGGGGTGAAGTAATCCGAAAGCTAATCCTGGGCTGAGCCCTGCTAAGCTCATTAAGTCCTAACTCCTTAACTGCCAGGCCAAGTCCTCTCTCCTTGGCTTCCTCTTCACCCGCTGTCCTTCACCTAGCAGACAGGATCCGAATCCTGGGGATGTCACTCTGCAGCCGGTCTAAAGAGATTTTCCTGACGGCACTGGTCCTTTCCTACTTGAAAGTGAAGAATCGAATTTTTACCAAGGCTGGAGCTTTCAATTTTTGATAGAAATCAGAAAATGTGTGATAACATCAAATGACTCAACCAACAAATTAGCAGGAATATAGGCCACGTAAACTACACAAAATTCCATAAACCGGACCTTCTTGAACATCTTAGAACTAGAGATATAAAATATAAACGTGTGAGGAGTTTTCTCTATTTTATTTTTTAAATCACAAATTACTTTATTTACATATATATATACAACACATTAAGTCACGATAATGGTTACATGATTATGGCCGCATTATCTTACACATGTTATAATAAAGCGGTGTGATTGCAATTTTTTAAGCTGACATCTAAATGGTACAGTAGGAAAAATCTAATATAACCTACATAAGTTATAAAAAAACTAAGTAGCTTAATATATGTGCTAGTTGACGGTGCTGAGACTGTCGGTGTGTCCCTGGCCTGATCGAAGTTCTATTTTTTAAAATTCTAGCTTTGAAGAGTATCCCATGGTTGACTAATAAAAAGAAAATACCAGAATCGAAACGTCAATAAACAGAAGAAATGAACATTCAATAGTTTATTAAATAATAATTAAGTGACCTTATTCCCAATAGTTAAGTTTAAATTTAATACTCAAAGGTCGATTAAGGAAAAGTTGTAAATATATGTATATATATATATGGTGGTATATTCTTCTGAATACTTTCCTCTCCCAAACTTTTAAGATTCTTTCACTTTCTTTGGAAAGTACCCAAGTCTCACTGCCATAAGACCTAACCGGCCTAATGACTGGTTTATATAATATGACCTTAGACCTCTGTTGGTCAGGCCTCTGAATTTTAAGGGTTTTTAGCACCTGTTTACAGCAGTTACTCTTGCTTTAATTTCTTAAGGCAGCTGGTGTTCATTCTTTGATGTGATAAGGCCACCAAAATACTTGAACTGGTTTGCTAACCTGAAGGTGTGGCTTCCAAATTTGATAATTTCTTCTATTGTTTCTGATTGGTTTCTTGCTGACTTCATATAGACTGTCTTTTCTTCGTTTACATGAAAGCCTAACTATTTCATAGCGTTTTCGAACTCCTCAAACGTCCCCAATAAAGATGCTCTAGATCTAGCCGATATTACCACATCGTCTGCGTATGGTAGATGACAGTCTATTATTTATTGTATCATGAGAGCTTGTCTGAATAGCACGTACTGCATGATTTAAGGCTATATAGAAATATGTCTAAAGTTAGAATTCATCTGAAAGGCTCATATATACATAACTTTATAGGTAAGTGAAAGAAAAAGAAATATTTATCTTTCATGACGGAGTAGTGGATAACCCTGACTTAATAGAAACATAGTTCAAAACCAATGCCAAGCGAATTTTTCAGAATGTTTCTTTTACTGTATGAACTAAATATATTTCTTTAAATTAGAAATAGAGTTGATGAAATGCAACTGAAATATTAAATATTTTGAGTTATCAAGTTGAGGACTATCCCAA